TTGGTATTAATCTTTAATGTCACGGCATATGGTTCCATTTATTTTCCTCTCATAAAAGTCCGAAACTCCTAACAGGCGTATACAATTTTACCGAGAGTACAATTGCCTTCCTTTTAAACGGCATCCGACAAAAAACGTGGGCGAATGAATGATTAAACCGGTTGTTTCGCGGAGAAGATAATAATAAGACCGGGCGCTCATGTCCGGTAATAGGCGACTGGCAAATTGTATGAATAAATATTGTACTCGGATAAGAGGAACAGGTTATTGTCATTACTTCAGCCACGAAAGTATTTACCTACTACCCTTCGTGTGACAGTCGCGTATATAGCCGCCTAAGTCCTCCGATTCGCCACACAATCTCGTCATGGACGCGATCACTCTAGAGGAGCAATACATCAAGTTGACCAAGATATGCGCCCAATTCTCCGGTTTCTGGCCATGGCAGAGCAAACTGTCGAAATACGTATCGCGAATAATAACGTACACCATCGTTTTCACGGTTCTCTTCACGCAGGTGAAACACTATACCTTTTTATTATTTCGACGAGTTCATAGTGTTATATATTCTTTTAACACGTTCGCTACCACGGTTCTGTTGATTAATTAATTCTTTGAATTAATCTCACATGCATTCTTAAAATCTGTATTTTTTTCAGTTTTACATTATACGATTAGACACGCTTAATATTTATCAAATCCTAAAACCGTGCATTTTTTACGACGTATCGCATGAAGGTAACATCGTTTTATTATGGGAATTTGGCGTCACTCTATATGACGTTGGTAGCGAACGCGTTAAAGTGGATTTGCATATTCCGGGCGCATCGTTGCACTTGTTAAGAAAGTGAAGTCGCAGGGAAATAGATAATTTCCATACCACTCGGCTTTTATCTCGACAGTTTCATTGTATTTCATACCAAATTCGAGATACAACGCACCTTGTGTACACTACCGCTCGAAAGTTTAATCGCATCCATTGAAATGCGGTAAAATTGAGAGTGATTTACAGAGAATACATGAATTAGGCGAAAATTCTGCTAAATTCGGTAAGAAACTTTATATCGAATTTGACGAATGGAATTGGAATTTCATCGAATTGAATTTACGAGCGGCAGTGTACGTTCTTTAGTATAACACTAGTAAATATAAGAATTTTTCTGTGCTGTCTACCTTACACATTTAAGCGATTTTTATACGATTTCTTGGAAAGACAGATCGACGATTGAACTTGCAGGTAGCACAAGTGGTGTGTTTCTTCAGTTTGGACGTTCTTATAGATCAGCTATCATTTTTTGGCGCGGTAAGCGGGACACTGTTGAAACAGGGGAACTACATCGTCTTTAAAGAGGAGGTGAATGAATTTTCCATTTTGATTACCGTTTCACGTTTCATGGCGTTCGTGGCTTCATGGGTTAGGTATACGAGATCGATCAAATTGCAGTACGAGTCGCTTATTAGCGGTGCCAGGAACGACTGGTCGATCGAGAGACCACAAGGGGAGATCGACATTATGACTAAATACGCCGAGAGGGGTGCTTTTTTAATTTCGACATACCTTGGTAAGGCAGATCTTATTTAAACGACCAAACTGTTTATTTTACGTACATTGTCAAATATTCGATAGTGAACGCGATCGTTTGTGTCATCCTGTTCGTGTCGACGCCGGTGACACCGCATATTTTGGACATTTTACTACCGAAAAACGAGTCACGAGACGTAGCGTACATTTACCCGGCCTATTATTTCACCGACGAGCATAAGTACGACGTGTACATAATTACGCACATGGCGTCCGTGATCCTGGTGGTGTTTTACGTGTACTTCGCTTGTGACACCAGTTACATATACGTCGTGCAACACGGCTGCGGATTGTTGGCCGTGTCCGGGTAAAAAATTCGATCGAACGATTCGTAGCTCAACCCTTTCAGTGCCAACAAAATCGATACGCTAATTATTCTGCGAAACACTTCTAACTTCTTCTGAATTTCATCGACAACAAACGAAGTCTAATGTGTTTAACGTGAAAATTTTATTAAGATTATTCTAAGGATTGATGGAAATGCGGCAACAAATTACTGAGGTTAACATTGGTACTCGAAGGGTTAATTTTGGGTACAACAGATGAGAACATTGTAAGGTTTTAATGCGTAGATATCGTTACAAATGTGCGATCGTGGAATTGTCCAGTCGGAAAAGGAACAGTGTCACGCAGGATGAAATTTATAGAAGAGTGTGTCATTCGATTCAAGGACACCAGCATGCTATAAAGTCGGTATTAAAAAAGATACGTCAAATTGTTTTAAATGTTCTTTGCTTTTTTTCTAGCATGTTACTATTACGCCCGTGAGATGTTTTTGTCTTGTTATCTCTGTATTATGATTTATTGAAATTTTCGATTTTTCTTCGAGTGAAATTTATTCACGTTTAATCACACTTTTATCGTATGGAAATGTGTAACATTAATTTTACAGAATGCGTTTACTCCGAATGCGTGTTAATTCTTGCAAACGTCTAATTTCGCTGGTAAGCAGGCCGTGCGAGTATGATTTTCTCTTCGTCGACGAACAAATTGCAAAACCGATCAAGTAATTTTTCATATATTTTCTTTTCAGCACGGTAAAAGAAATTTGTCGCGAGTGTAATTTTGTTTGTCCAGTAAAAGATTGTCAAGCAATTGTATAATCCAGGAATGAAAATGAATTTGCTGGGAATGTTTCATGCTTTCACCTGCACGTACCGTCTTTAATATACTCCCGAATATGTCACACCGATGATGAGTTCGTCCTATTTCAATGATTTCAAAACAGATACATTAACCAGATCGAAAACTGCCACGCGGGCTATTTTTTTATTTGCGTCGTTCTTATAATGATATGCTTCAGCGTGATACTGGTGAAGGTGAGCTCTTCAGTGCGGCAATTATATCGCGTTGCGATACCGCTGATCATCCTCAGAACAATTGCTTGGAAACAGGTGTCGAACTCGGAGATTAACGCGGAGTTTGCCAAGGATTGCACATTTATCGTGATTCAATTGGTACACATACTTTACCTAACTCTTCAAGGACAATTCGTGATCGACGCGAACGAGGAAATCTTCGAATCGATGTAAGAAGTAAATTTGAAAAAAATTGAAAATTTGTGAAAATCAAAATTGTCCATTTTTCTAGATACAGCGCTTTGTGGTATAACAGCGACAAGAGAACGCAATCGTTGTTTGTATTAGCGTTAAGAAATTGTCTATCTGCTCCTCAAATAACAGCCGGTGGACTAATTACAATGAACTTGCAAAGTTTCTCAGAGGTAACACGTTCATCGACAATTATTCTTCTAATATCTCGAGAATATTCAGTTAAACGACGTTCTGCTTTCTCTTCTCAGATTGTAAAGACGTCTGTCTCGTACTACATGGTACTGAAATCCGTATAAACGACATAATGCACTTCTAACAGCAAGAATATCGACGAACAAAGCGCACTGGTCAGCGCAAATCAGTGGAGTTGATGTTGCATGCGAGATTATTATGGTTAATTTTCTACAATGGATGTGTAACTCTATCTGGTAATACGAATAAGAAAAGCTCAAGGAAAACACTTTCTCGTTGTCAATTGGATCATCGTTGTCTAAGGACCCATTCTCAAGGCAATTCTATAATTATCTCAATACATACCAAAGGATACGAATGTCCTATTTTTGTTTTTGTTTTTTTAATTTTTTAATATTTCGCACCGTTTCATTTTATGGACGTGCAAAAAAAAAAAGAAATAAGTTCGAATTTCATAAAACTGAAAGTCATGCGAATCTTCTCGAGGATCTCGATATCTGAATCTCGTTCCCAGCACGACTCGGTGTTCATTGTTCAGAACGATGCGTCATCGTCCATTGGCACCGATATGACAATCGCGACGCCGCGGCTAGTATTTAACAAACGTAATAACCTATGACCTATCCAGTTCAACAAGCCCAACTGGGAATCTCGTATATCGTGTCCTTTCTTTCGCCGCGAGAGCGCAGGGATGGATTGTACAATGGACAGAAACGATTCGTCTGCATAGCGAAAGGAGAACAGCTACCCCCACTCTCTCGCGTGCAGGCTTGGTCACGTGCTGCTAAGTACGGATGCGCGGCAGTTCAAACGACCAACCTTTTTCTACTTTTTCTATACAGTTAATCGAAAATCGAATTATATTTACTTATGCCCTAAAATTAATTTTTTATTCAGTTGCGCTCTGTATATTCCAGTTGGTAATCTACAGGGTGATTCATTTATAAAGAGTATCTGAATTACTTTCACTGCTGTGGAAAGTGGGAAAAAATTTTGTAAAGAAATTGCGATAAGAAACGTCCCCTCAAAGTGATCTCGAAGATCATTTCAAGATCACACACCTTTATTTGTCATAATTTTTCAAAATTGAAAGATTCTCTTTGCAGGAAAATGTCGAAAGATTATCTCATTGAGGTTTTCTAGGTTAAAAAATTGAAACATCAAAAAATCCACAGAAGCTTTCCGTGTAATCCCAACCTAGAATACCCGTGATCCCCTGATTTCACTAAGCATCTTGCATCACCGTTCCCGATTCCCAGTAATCCCCCGCGAATATAGCCCACTGTCTCTCCTTACAAGAAAGCTCAAAACCTCCATGCGACCGCATCGTGTATATCCACGCGGCGCCGCGCCGGCACGGTGCCCACGTTTCTAAATCAACGTGAATAACGATTTCAATTACCCGCATCGTTTCCCCCACCCCTCTTTCTCTTTCGTGTACTTACACACACGTTGGTCGCTCGCGGAAGCGAGTTTCGCGTGTTGTTCGGGCCTTGTTACTCTCGTTACATGCACCCGCGTGGATTCAAGGCCGTGGGATCGGGCCAGATCGGTATTGACTCCGACCTTGCGGCACTTTCGAGCCTAGTAACCGCAATTAGACGTTGAATATCACTTTTGAATCGTTTCACGCTCTGGAAAGAGCGAGTAGAGACAGAGAGTAGGGAACAGGGTTGGCGAAGGAGGATGAGAAGAAGCGGAAACAGGGATACCAAAGAGGCGGCGGAGCTTCCTCGCGATGTCGCCCCGTGGATCGGTGAAATGACTGAGGCGACCTGGAACTCGAAGAGGAATTCGTCTTGCAGCTGAGTAGTCGGAGCTGATCGTTCAAGCGGTTGCATTACGCTCTGCGGTGGCTTGTGAACCGGGTCAACGATGGATGACTCAGTTCTGACGGCGTACAATAGTTTTATTAACAGACAATGGGATATTCGTTTGATCTATGACGCTTTTTGCATACGATGGCATACGGTTATCTCTTATTGAGAAGGAGTTGTAGCTCGGATCTGGTTAAGGGTGAGTGGAAATTACATGCATGTGATTTCACATGCACTGACGTTCAAGAGGATTGGGACACCTATTATGCTCGCGTGGAATGTATTGTGCGATTTCAATTACGATTTCTCGCCAAACTTGGCGTCAGTTGTTTCGGAAAACTACTTGGAGACTCTAAAATGAATAATTTTCGTTCAAGATTTTCATTATTTAGTAATAACTTTTGTGTGGAAATTAATTTCATATTAAACTTGTGACGAGAACGAGGATTGCTTCACATTCACTAGGTAGACTTTAGTCAAATTCAGAAGAACTCGGTAGAGTTTGGTACATTTTGGTAGAGTTCAGCAAGTGTCCCAATACTTACGAACGTGGATTACTGGATTACGAACTTTGCATTAATCTCAGCTATTTTTCATTATTTACACATGTTACCAGGGACTCGTTTAAATAAGCCAGGGAGAGGAATTAATGATTCAAAGGGGAGATGAATTCGTGACACATCGACGTTTCGACGCACCCATAATCGTCCTCCTCGTTTCATCCTCACGCAGTGGCGTGTGCTCGTGCATTGTGACTACTCTTTTGTCACCGACCAGGTCGCTTCCATTGCAAAAGGTCCTTAATCCTCGGAGAACACCAAGTTCTACATACTTTTTTTCTTGCACTCTGAACTACCACCTTTCGGACCTCCTCGTCGATCTTCACCGCTGCTTTTCGTCGTTTCTATTTCGCACACGATTCCCGCGTATCGATTTCGTTTACCTTCGGCATAAATCACCGGTTGCGGATTTCGAAAGACGCAGCTGTCGCGCTGCACAGTTTCTCAACGACGGGTTTCACGACAGGGAGAAACGAACAGTGGGGAAAAAAAAAAACGATCGAGGATCGTGCAGGTGTCGCGGATATGAATTCGAATGCTTCGTTAATCGACCGGTTGCTCGATTCGCTGGAAATTATGCCACGAGTGCGCGCGCGAGCGTTCGAGCTCGTACTTGCACGCACGAGCCTTCTCGCGAAAGTAAAGAATCTAGAGTAATTGGCCGCGTCGGGACAAGGAGAGCGAGTTTTTCTCGCTTTCGGGGGAATATCTATCGCAGATGGACGTCGTTAATCCCTCGACACACCGGACAATAACGGTTTTGCACGAGTTATATCGAATATATCGAAAGGGGGTTCGACGCCATGTTGGCTTTTAAAATTATCTCGCTGTTGCCACTGTCGGGCGGAGAACAATTGGTATAATTAACGAGCGTAATAGAAGGTACGTGATTGTTTGAAACCCGACTGGTTCGACATACGTTATGTCAGACAGGCTATTAGCAACTGGTTTGGCGCTATGATAAGAATGCATTAATGAAGTAGCCGATCGTTTCAGGTCGTCGATGAATTAGAAGAAGAAATCAAAGATCGTTTATATGTCGGTTTTTATCGGTTCAAAAGAGGAGGAGAGTAAGACGAATTGCATCCTATTAGCTTCTTTCAGGCATTCCATTTTTTTCTGCTTGCCACTTTGTGAAATTAATCGAGACGGAATCGATATACTTGCGGCGAAGAGAAGCGATAACCACGAAGTCGTTCATTTTCTTCGTAATTTTTTCTTATTTATGCTACTTGTTAGTATTCTTATTGCTGGTCACTCTTGTTCGAACAAAGAGGCAGTGAAACTATAATTCCAGTAGACTACTTTTAGTTGCGTACTGTTATCTTCGAGGATTTCCATTTTTTTCTTTTCGGCACACGCCACTTTGTGAAATTCATCTCGCCGGACCGATTTCCCCCCAAATTTTGCTGTTGTCTATGCTATCTATCATCGTTCCCATTATTAACAATTTTGATTCGTGCGAAAAGCAACGAATCTAGTAGACTACTCTCCACCGGAGAACATTCTCGACCGCACGCTGCATATTTCATCCAACTCAAAGAAGAATAACAAAGTACCTGTCGTAACCGCGCGAGAGTAACAATTTTCCCAGAAAAGAGCACGCGAAGAGGAGAGGGGGGGGGCGTCCTTTTCTAACCAAGGTGGAATTTTCAAAAGCGATTTTCCACCATCGACGCTGTTTCCCAATGAACGGCCTCGAAGCGAGATTACAGGAAACCGAAGGCGCGACGAGCCTGCCCGCGGACGTTCACCGATCGCGTCGAATCGAAATTGCACAATTTCCAATCGGCGATTCGCGTCGCGTTTCCCGTCGGAATCCACCAAATCACCGGGTTCATTCGCTATGCTCGTTGCCACGTATCCCCGGGTCATTTATTAACACCGCGCGGAACCTTATTGAAAATTCAGCCGCGAGATGAGACCGGGGTCGTTAAGATCGAATCGTCAAAGAGGAGAGCGAGTTCGTCGATCGCCGGTCACGACTATTACCTTTAAGACGGCTATTCTACGTTCCAATTCACGCCATCTCCTTCCCTTCGATTATTATCGTACACCATTTCTCCTCCTTTCTTTGCAATTTGTTATTTGGAAATTGTTCAATCTGGAAATATTCCGATCGATCGTTCTGCGAGAGAGAGAGAGAGAGTGGTTTCTGGAATTTTCGGCTGGACTGCTTCGACGACAGACAATCACGAGAGGCGAATGGGTCTCGATTGGC